CAACATCCCGCCGCCTGCCTCCGACCTGTTCTCCTCCTGGGCAATCGTCCTCACTTCGGGTGTCGCACTGCCTACTCCCACTGACCGTGGCAGTTTGCAGCTCTCTTCCACAGCCATCTCCACAAAACATGCTGGTAAGCGGCACCGACTTACTCCTCTGCCGGCTTAACCGTGTTACTGTTTCGATCAATTCACTCGGTGTCCATTCTGATTTGTTGTTTTCTTAGCCAGCTAAATTAGTTTGTTTTTAAAAAGGAAGCAATTTAATTATCCCTCCCTCTCTCTTTTGATTCCTCTCTGATAGTAAAAGTAACGTAAAAGTAAGACTTTTGCTTCGCATGTGGCAAGACTGCAGAGATCGAATGATGTTATATTGTAGCCTGACGGAGGTTTGAGCTGTCAAGGGACGCAGATGTGCTGATCATTTATGCTTCAATTTGTGCGCAAATCAGTAGTCTGGGATCTTATGATTTGATTTTACTTGTGGTAGGCAGGTAGGTACTCCCCATCCAGCTTACGGAACTTGAGTGCCCATACTTAATAATCTTGACCACAACCGGCAGGACAACGGGTTCGTGGCGCAATGGTAGAGCGTTAGCCCCAATGACTAAAGATCCTGACTTCGAATCTCAGCTGCTCCGCATCGGCACTTGGAGATGAGTGAATGATGAGGACTAGCAAACCAGGACTGGCCCTGCCGGCGTCTTTGTAGATACGGTGGCTGACAGTCAACATTGCTGTCCGGCGTCTTTCTTCACGACCTACTGCCTCGCGTTCATACAACTCCGCAAGGAGCGGTTTGGCTCACTGACCTTGACCGACTTCCGCTCGCAGACGCAAGTGCGTCCAGGTAGTCGGCTGCCTAAGGGCCACTTAAACATGCGACCCCTCGCCGACGCAGCATCGGCCAGTAGTCACGACACTTCAATTGAACAGCACTCGAACATGCTCCACAATCATCAGGGCAGCTGCCGCCACTCTCTGGCATAATTGGACACAGTTAACACTAGCGCTGGTTACGCCAGTGCCACTGCTGCCTGAAGAAGGGCTCGGGGTTCTGGACACAATGCATTCCTCCCACTTGTGCCTGCCCTCTTTTCCAACAATCCGGGATTCAGCTCGGTTATTGTAGTGACCTAAGTATGACCTCTACAGCTCTCAATTTTCTGTGAACGTACTTATGATAGGTGGGCACTCGCCGATCATTTTACGGAACGTGAGCACCCGTCTACTACGCCTAATTTTCTCGGCCACAGTCGACAGGACAGCGAGCCTGTGGCTCAATGGTAGAGCTTTGGCCATAATGATCGAATATTTCGGGCTCGACTCCCTGCTGCTCCACATCTGATAGTTGGTATGAATGACTGATGAGGATTAACAAACCAGAAATGATCCTTCTGGCCTCTGTTGTCTTTGTCAGTTCCACCTTATCATTATATACTACCAGTCACTATGCAACTGCCTACGAGGACTCTAAAGTGAGCTCTAAGACACAGCGGAACATACATATTTCGTAGCCAGATTGGTGAGTTCTATAATTATAGCTCATATTCCAGATCACGAGCGAGAGAACAGTGG